GTGTTTTTCTACCTGGAAAGATTTTTTTCTGTGCTTAATCATCTTAATACAATCGATAATTTCAGTGGATCGCCCGTGTACTCGTCCAACACTGATTACACTTCCCTTAATTGACACTTCTAGACGATTAACAAAATTTGGAGAGCTTAATTTCTTTTCAAGAACCATGTTTTTGGGAGTCAACCCCGCTTTGTGGCCGACTGGCCGAGCCACCATGAGCCCGCTAAATCGCCGCATGTGGATCACGAGCCGCCCCTTTTGCGACTTGTTTTTTATTACATAACAATTATTCAACAAAATTAGTCTTCATTGACATACTTTTGTGTGCATAAGACATATACATTTATGTGCATAATACATACTTTTGTATGCATAATACAAATACATTTATGTGCATAATACATACTTTTGTATGCATAATACAAATACATTTATGTGCATAATACATACTTTTGTATGCATAATACATACTTTGGTGTGCATAATACATACTTCTGTGTGCATAATACATACTTTTGTGTGCATAATACATACTTTTTGTATGCATAATACATACTTGTGTTTGCATAATACATACTTCGTGTGCATATAGAATACATACTTTTGTGTGCATAATACATACTTGTGTGTGCATAATACATACTTTTGTGTGCATAATACATACTTTTGTGTGCATAATACATACTTTTGTGTGCATAATACATACTTTTGTATGCATAATACATACTTGTGTGTGCATAATACATACTTCGTGTGCATATAGCATATATACTTTTGTGTGCATAATACATACTTTTGTGTGCATAATATATACGTTAGTGTGCATAAAAGATAATTTTGTGCTTAAAACACTCTCTTGTGTGTGCATAATGGATACTTTTGTTTGCATAATACACCCGTTTGTGTGAAAAAAAACATGCTTTTGTGTTCATAACACGTAGCTTTGGGTGTATAATACAAACTTTAGTGTGCCTAAATTACATTTTTGTGCAAAATACACACTTTTGTGTGCATAATACATACTTTTGTGTGCAAAATACATACTTTTGTGTACTTAATGCATATGTATTTCATGCTTATTGTACTGATGAATTTTCTTTTTTTTTAAATATCAATTTAAATAATTGCTAAATTCTAAATAATCGAAGGTCTCAAATCCTTACATCTGGAGTAATAATACGTAAAGATTCTTTTTTTTTTTTTAAATATTTTAAAAAAATATTTTGGCAGATGGCCTGAAGCAGTCAATCATGTGTCCTGTGTTCAAGTTACTTGCTGCGGCCACCGAAACAATGCCTTGCAATGCATGAGCGTGTAAGCCACAACCCGGGTCACGTTTACCAGCGTGTTGGATTTATCATTGAGAGCGGGAGTGTGCAGGAATAACACCACTTTTGGCAACGCCATTACAGATGGAACATTATTTTTTATTACCGTCTTTAAAAACAAAACCACTTTATTTACCAATACCTTTAGACGAATCTGGTTGAAGCGCTCCAGGGGGTTCAAACAAAGAACCTAATGAGTTTCAGACAAGTCTTTAATAATATTTTTTTTTAATAGTTAAAAAAAATAACATTGCGTTTCATTGGATCGATCCACAATTTTAAATAGTAAACACGTTCATTACTGAGAGCCTCGTGAGAAATTGGCTGACACATTAAATAAATTTCTCCGATGACGTCATTAGAGTCGTAATTGTTATCAAGAGCAATTCAACACTTGTAGAGAAGAGAGCACCTGTGGGGGGGGGGGGGGGGAAAAAAAAAGAAAAAAAAAAAAAAAAAAAAAAAAAAAAAAAAAAGAAAAAACCCGGGAAAAAAAAAAAAAACCCCCCCCCCCCCCGGAAAAAAAA